GGTATTTTGATGTCATACACCGATCGGTCTGAATACAGTTCATACAAATAGACAGCAACTGTGCAGATATGAAGAAAATGAACACAGTAGAAATATTTCTTGCTTTGCTATGCTAAGTAGTGTTTGTGTGTGTGTAGTGCTCCAGGAGGTCTTTATGGAGTAGTGTAAAGGTAGAAACAGACACTTGAAGGCAGCCACATCATCTGAAGCGCTTCACCAGCTCTGAAATAACAGATTTAATATAGATATTAGTATATTTAAAGGAGTAGTCCAAAAATGGAAATTTGCAGAGAACAGGCCACCCAGTATGTAGGTGAGTTTTTTCATGGGAACAGATTTGGAGAAATGTAGCATTGTATCACTTGCTCAGCAGTGGATCCTCTGCAGTGAATGGGTGCCGTCAGAATGGGAGTCCAAACAGCTGATAAAAACATCCACAAGTAATCCACACCACTCCAGTCCATCAGTTAATGCCTTGTGAAGTGAAAAACCGCATGTTCGTAAGAAACAAATCCACCTATAAGGAGTTTCAACTTAATTCAAGAAATACAAGTCCATAAGCAAAATATGAGTCCATAATCCATAATGACGCTTCATCAAGTAAAATCCGCTGTCCATCCGCTGTTGTCCTCTCACATCAAAATCCACCAACTTATTTAGAACTGCTTGTAAATGGTACTTGATCTGTGCATATTTCTCTCCTGATTCAGGCAAGATGATTTTTTCACTGGAGGAAACAATATTATGGATTATGGACACACATTTTTGCCAGAAGCAACAGGTTGAAGGTAAAAATGTCTTGATGGATTAGTTTCTTACAAACAAACAGCTTGTGGATTACTTGTGGATTATTGTGATGTGTTTATCAGCTGTTTGGACTCTCATTCTGATGGCACCCATTCACTGCAGAGCATCCACTGCTGAGCAAGTGAAGTAATGCTACATTTCTCCAAATCTGATGAATAAACAAACTCATCTACATCTTTGATGGGCTGATACATTTTGATTGTGTATGCATGTACTAAACGCATCTACAGTGCTTTAGAAGGACAGGAGGCTGTAGGTAACCTATGTGTGTTCAGACAGCAGTCGTTCAGAGGAGGCCGCAGGACTTGGGCGGGCGGAAGGGGTTGTCGCTGGACGGTACACCCACCAGCAGCGGGTCTTTATGGCCGTTCTGCAGGCAGAAGTTCTTCAGGTCTGTGGCAGCTTGAGAAACCTACAGAAATTACAATTAAGTCGACATTTTAAACGATACTATGCATTGAGTGCACACACCCCTGAGCAAACTTAGTTTTATTCCCGTCTATATTTTGAAGGTTTTATCGAGGGGTTAAAAACAAGAATTCTGAACCTTGCCTTATCTAATGTTCAGGATTCTGTTCTGGAAATGTATGCAAATTACTGCAAATTTAATCAGCTAATACATAATTTGCACATTTAAACATAACATTTCAAAAGACTTTTGGAAAATTATTCTTAATGTACTGTGATCAAGTTTTTTTTAACCTATTAGTACCTTGCCCTACATTTATGGCTGTAATAAGCTTTTCTATAAGTTATCTGATCGCTTCTGAGCATTAAACAAAGTAAATCTGTTTTTGTCCGAGTGGGATGACGAATTTATAGGATGTAAAAAGTAATTAACTGAAAAACTAGGTTACCACTACTTTGAAAAAATAACATTGGCAAACATTGCATTTAAAGTTACATTTATTGCACAGTATTATAAAAAAAAAAAGGCATTTTCATATTTGGGGTATTTTAGGCTGGGTCACCATAATTAATGCACACAAAAACTAAAAGTTTAGTTTGGACACATACCAAGGTTTTACAATTGTATTCTTAAAAGTAACATAATATACAATGAATTGCCATAGTATTGCAATCTGATACCATCACTATAGTACCACCAGCAGAGCTTCAGTTTGCATATATTTACACTATTAATGAGCATGAGACACAACTTCTAACAGTTGTCTGAACTTTCACGCCTAAAATACGCTTCTGGCAGTTAAAAAACTCGTATAAAACAGCTTAAAAGCATCTCGGACGTCACGTTATTTACCTATACATGAGTTAAAACGCGTTTAAAATGTTGTTTTGTCGGTTAGCGTTAGCACTAGCAGTGACTCAAACCGGTTAAACTCATCCATAAACTCTCCAAATCCAAAACTCTTTCACGTTTATTGTTGAAGCTGGCATACTTACGTTAATTCGCCGTATTTTGGCCTCTAGGCTGAGCTGTTTGACGGCTTTCTGCACCACAGCCACACTGCTGCTGCTAGCGTTATTGTTGGACATGATGACTGACGGACTCCAAGAGAGCTCGCGGAAGTTTGAGGGACATATTTTTTAGAGTGTATACACACACACACACACACACACACACACACACACACACACACAATGTTGTGTTTCCATGTTTTATGGGGACATTCCGTCGGCGTAATGGTTTTTATACTGTACAAACTATTTTCTATCGCCCTACACCAACCCTACCCCTAAACTTAGCCATCACAGTAAACTTTCTGCATTTTTAGATGTTCAAAAAACTTCCTTCTGTATGATTTATAAACTTGTTTCCTCATGGGGACCTCAAAAATTTTCCTCATGGGGACCTAAAACATTTGGTCCCCATAATGTGATAAATACCACAGACACACACACACACACACACACACACACACGTACTGTAACATACTGTATATAGGCTTTTGAAAATTGTTTTAAATACACGTTATAATACGTTTTACATTTTAGGATTAAAATGTAGGATTTAGGATTTATTTTTTTTTATTTTTTTTTTTACAAATGGAGGTTTTGTCAAATTTAACTTACTTTGGGGGAGAGTATTGGAAAGTATATGAACATATGTGCAGTGTCTCACAGACTAGACAGCAACGGAACCAAGTAGCATTACTTTCGCAAGTATAGCCTAAGTGAGAAACAAGTCATACAAACAGGCAGAGTGTTATTATTAGCCTATATATATATCTCTCATAATCTCTTGAAAATTGAATTCTGTTCTAGGGACACAAAAATGTGACATTGTGATGTACAAAAGGTACAAAAGCTGTTAGTGGGGTGATACTTTTTCAAAAGTCACTGAATTGTACCATTTACGTACTAATATTTACCTTTAAGTTACTAATATGTCCCCGTTATGGGTAAATATGGTACAAATGTGTAGCTTTTGAAAAGGTACTGCCTCACTGACAGCTTTTGAACTTTTTTATTGTAGTGTACATATGGCTCAGACTCCTCCTTCGATGTGGAATGTGTATCATTTCCAACCGATGAAGTGATGAACTCAACACAACTGATGAACTCATTTTGAGTTATGTTCAAGTCCTCGTCAAAAACAATGTGGGAAATTATGCATGGTAAGCATGAGCTATACTAATAATGATATTTGGCGCCTTCAGAGCTACAATATTTCCCGTAGTTATGACACCATCTAAGACAAGTGTGGTCAGCTGTTTTTTTTTTAATATACATTTCTCACCATAGTTTCACAGGGGAAGAGGACATGTTGTTTTGGTCTCAGGCTATCTTGTCTCACCAGTATTTGTCTTTACTTCTGTTTTTATGCTCGTCATTAGAAGACTACAGTATCATGGTAATATATTTCATTTTAAATCATGTTTAGTTAAAATTACTGCAATGATTGATTGCTTACTGCACTGCACTGTATTTTAGCACAAGACAGCACTTATGGTAGTAAGGAACAGTCTGGTCATTTGTGGTCACTTTAAGTCAAGCAATGATAAGAACAAGGCTTCTATTACATGCTTCTGTAAAAGGTTAAGGAATAATGACAACAGAATGCATATTATTTACTTGTCTTAATTAAGTGTGTGAAGACTGAATCAGATATTTGATTCATGGAGGTTTTTGCATGATACATCTCATGTCTTGCAGGTGTGTCCAGCTCTACTGCTTCAATCCTTCATCTGGATCTCTCTGATGGCAAAGGGTAACATACCTGTGATGTGGTAATGTAATGAACACCAGTCTTTACCGAAGACTGTTTTCCGATAAGCAGAAAACAAAGCTGTTTTACTGGCAGCACATTTGAAACAACTTCTCTTACAGCATCCAGTGCCACTTCAGTTGAGGTCAAACGGTCACAGTTTACAGCTTTCTGTACTTGCAGTGTAGTCCCTTCTGAGCCCTTTATTTTTAAGAGTTTTAAGGTTCTTCATGGAACCATAATGCTAATTAAGAACCTTGATTTTTAGTGTGTCTCAAAGCAGCCTTCCAAGCATGCACTGGTGTGTATTCCAGGTGTGCAGTATGACGTGACTCATATCGTCAGCACAATGTGTGTGGTCCGGCAGTCGACGGTGCTCATACCCTGCAAACACACTTCTCGATACGAGCAGGTGAGCGCAGCCGAATGGCTCTTTGAGAAATCCCCGTGGCAGAGGGTCAGGGTGTCTCAGGACCCTGCGTTTGTAGGCCGTGTGGAGTTTGTGCAGCCTGCCACGGGAAACTGCTCGCTGCTGCTGAGGGACGTGAGGGAGAGTGACGCCGGCATCTTCCGGTTTGTGCTCAGCACTGCTTCCGGGCAAAATTGGACAAACGATCAGGGAATCCAGCTAGAAGTCACAGGTGAGTGGAGAGCCGGATAGGTGATAGGTGTGAATAAAGACCTTTTACATTTCAATGTAAGAACTGGAATTGAACTGATTATACAGAATCAACCACTAATCATTTTGGGCTGCTTAAAGCTAAACCATGTCACTTTTTTTCAGAAATAACAATATTTAAATAATAAGCGAGTACACTATGCAAGTTGTGGCTCTCTAGCGGGCGAAGCATAAAACTACATGTTACTGACTTGCGTTTTTTCCTTCAACCGCTAGGGGTCCAAAAGTTACACAGTGTAGCATTTTGAAAAATTTAAATATAAAGATCTTGTCTCACAAAAAGATCTTTATATTTACATTGATTCCTTGGGCAGATGTCCATATCCAGAGTAATTTACATCACATTGCATTACATTTACATACACTATAGCAGCGGTTCTCAAAGTTTTTGGGGCCAGGGACCCCACACAGGGGAGAAAACTTTCCAAGGACCGCTAATAATTATAAAAGCAGTTAAGCATATGATTACTACAATATGTACTCTTTTGGCACTTCTGTTTTCCTGGAATTTGTTTTTTTTTCTGGATTATATTAAATCTACCTTTTTTTTATTTTAATTTTTTTATTGTCTTTTATATACAATATATAGTTTATAAAAATATATATATAGTTTATTTTTTTAATTATTAATTAAATAATTTTTTCTCTCAAATTTAGTTTTTACAGTTTTTTCGGGATTTCGTTTTAATGGTTTAATTACATTTTAATAATCCAAAAGGATGTTTAATGAATTTAACTTAATATTTTATTAAATGTTTACAACAATATATGGCCATATGAAATGTTTTACTTTCTTCAGAAAATCTGTGTTGTTTTTTTTCTTTATTTTTAAAGGAATAATCACACTATTTTTGATATTTGTGTTATTTAACATTTAATTATTGCATGTTTGCATCATATTCTGAATTTGCATGTCACTGTTTATATTCATTTCGAGGAATACTAAATCTGTTTTTGTGCAAGGGAGGGGAGTAAATGCATGCTCACATTTAGTCTAGCATGTAAAGGCATGCTCACATTTGAATTCCCCATTCAAATCTAGGGGAAGTCGTGGCCTAATGGTTAGAGAGTCGGACTCGTAACCTAAACCTTCGAGTCTCAGGTCCAGCAGGGATTGTAGGTGGGGGGAGTGAATGTACAGCGCTCTCTCTCATTACAATACCACGACTGAGGTGCCCTTGAGCAAAGCACTGAGCCCCCAACTGCCCACTGCTCCGGGTGTGTGTTCACGGTGTGTGTGTTTACTTAGGATGGGTTAAATGCAGAGCACTGATTCCTAGTATGGGTAACCATACTTGGCCACATGTCACTTCACTTCACTTCAATACAACAAGCTTCAATACAATGCTTCTGCACTTACTCCCGATTTCTCTAAACATGGAAAAAAATCGGAAAACAAAGTAACTAGTGTTACTTATTTGAAAAAGTAACTTAAAAATAAAAAGTAATGTGTTTAATTTAATGTAAAGTAGTCTGATTACATAACTTGTTACTTGTAATGCGTTACCGCTGATAAACACACATGTTAAGCATAGACTTCTTTTTTCTGTTCCAGATGCGACAACAAGCTTCAATACAATGCTTCTGCACTTACTCCCGATTTCTCTAAATATGGAAAAAAATCGGAAAACAAAGTAACTAGTGTTACTTATTTGAAAAAGTAACTTAAAAATAAAAAGTAATGTGTTTAATTTAATGTAAAGTAGTCTGATTACATAACTTGTTACTTGTAATGCGTTACCGCTGATAAACACATGTTAAGCATAGACTTCTTTTTTCTGTTCCAGATGCACAGAGATCAGACGCTGTTACAGTCTCTGTTAAAGGTGAGAATCATCTCTGTTGATCTCAGTCAGCTCATTGTCTATGTAAAGAGTAACAGTTCTTCTTCCTCTCGTCTGCACGGCTGAAGAAAGCAGCTCATCTCTGATCAGGGTGACGGTGGGAATCACTGCAGCTGTTGTCTTGATGTCTGTGGTTTTCATCGGGCTGTTGATCAGAAGGTGAAGGAGACTCTGCGTCTGTACTGTCAGAAAGATTCAGAGTCAGTTTGTGCTCGCGTTCATTTCTTCTTCTCTCTCAGGAAACGAGCGACTCCATCAGAAGAGCACAAGCACGGAGGATCAGGACACAATAAGACGGTGAGTACGTCTCCTCATCTGTGTCTGTCAGTTCTGGAGGGAGAATGAATTCTCTCATCATTGTGTGTCGTCAGGAGTCTCCTGAGGACGCCTACATGAGCCTTGAGCCCAAGTCCAGATGTTCTGAATACGACACTCTGGATGTGAGTTCCTCTGCTGTTGCTGTTTATCATGTGGATGTTTAACATCAGATCTTATTAGTGATGAATATGTTCACTTCTTCTCCAGAATATGAAGAGATCCTGTGAAAACACAGACCAACCTGAAGCTCAGGATCCTATATATGATAACATTGTTCAAAACTGACAATTGATTTATTTAATTTGACAATTTTAATTCGATCTGACATCTTCATTTCATTTGGCATTCGTTTTTAAAGCTGTGCTGTGAAAATGCACAGTATTTTATACTTTTGAGTTATCTCTTTACATTGACACAGGGAAGTTGTATTTACCTAGAATATTAAGTACTTTCAACTTGACAAATTTAGTTAATTGTCAAGTTTATGAAAGTAAAGTGGACTTACTTTAAGTTTTCAAAACCAAAGTTCATGTTCATTTCACCTAACTTGGCATATTTTCTTATTCAACCAAATAAATACTACTTTCATTTCAACTGTTGTTTTATTTCAAATGTTTCTTTCGGTTGATGCTAGTTGAAATATTTAATATTGTAACTTAAGTTCAAACAACTTGACTGAGTCAATGTAAAATAACTCAAAATGTTATGTTAAATGAATATGAAGTTTGGTATTTAATTTTGCCTTGTTATTTTAAACAAACTTTATGCTTACAATTCTAGGTAAATACAACCTAACTGAGTCAATGTAAAAAGATAACTCAATATCACATAAATGCTGAGAAACATCTCAACTGTTAAATACGTCAGTTTATTGCATGTTCCCAAAAATATAGAAAAAACAGGTTGCAGCATTACATGTGAGCTGCAGCCTTCTGTTTGTGAAAGAGTTGCTTCATGCATCTTAACAAATGAGTGTCATCTAAATGCGTGTAAAAGTAATGAAGAGGACTTGCTTTAAACAATGCTACAACAACAAGGTGTCTTCTTTGTCTATATTTCAGGCGTTTTTGCGTTTACTTAAGTTATAAAACTGGGTTATAAAAAAAAAAAAAAACTCTACAAACGTGAAAAACTCCCTTAACTTTGTAAACGGCACCTTAGGCTGTTTCCTTGCTGTTTTCCTTTTTCTTTCCCTTTTTAGACTGCTTTAACTTAAATGTGTATTGTACAAAACGCTATGCAAATAGAAATGAATTGGAGCAACATTGTATCGCATCTCGCTGTTTGCTTTACTTCAGGCAGTGTGCGAATACAGTGAATTTTCGTTTTAAAAATGATTTCTATCAGGTGTTTTTGTGATAACGGTCGTGTTTTTAAGTGGTGTTCTTATAGGTAAGACCCAGATTTAACAGGTTTTGCAGAACAGGGCATTGAGGAGGGTTGCAACAGCATTTCTTGTCTATGGTTAATCTGACACGTTTACAGCAGGTCGTCCAGTAAAGAAATCTAGATTTCAACAGCCGTTCGATGTGCGTGTATTATACTGCAACACGTGCTCTCCTCTAGATGTCGCGTCGGGTCGGTGAGCTGCAGAGGTGTGCAGTGTGAAGGCGCTGTCCGCGGTGCTGATCGCTCACTCATCAACTGACACGTGTGTGGAATGTTCAGAGTTCTATTCCAAAATATAAGTAAACTTTCCATCTATCTATCTATCTATCTATCTATCTATCTATCTATCTATCTATCTATCTATCTATCTATCTATCTATCTATCTATCTATCTATCTATCTATCCATCCATCCATCCATCCATCCAATCTTGGACAAGCAGTGTCTTTCATCTCAGTGTGTTTGTCACCATCCTTGATTCCACTTAAGAAGGCCTTCCCTGTTCTGAAAAAACCTGTTAAATCTGGTTCTTACTCAGGCCCGGTACTAGGCTCGCTGGAACTTTCCATCTATCTATCTATCTATCTATCTATCTATCTATCTATCTATCTATCTATCTATCTATCTATCTATCTATCTATCTATCTATCTATCTATCCATCCATCCATCCATCCAATCTTGGACAAGCAGTGTCTTTCATCTCAGTGTGTTTGTCACCATCCTTGATTCCACTTAAGAAGGCCTTCCCTGTTCTGAAAAAACCTGTTAAATCTGGTTCTTACTCAGGCCCGGTACTAGGCTCGCTGGACTGGGGGGGCAATCAGAAACTGTGGTAGGGCAGCACTTTCTAGGGTAATATATTCATCATCGTTTACTTTTATTTAGGCTACTCAATTTTCAGTCTTGCATTTTGTGTCTGTGTGAGTGCAGAAATGTTAAATATGTGTGTAGACAATATTAAGCGAATCAAGCGAATCACACCCACGGCTTCGGGTGTGTGTTCACTGCTGTGTGTGTGCACTTTGGATGGGATAAAGGCAGAGCACTAATTCCTAGTATGTCACCTCACTTTTCACTTTCACTTATCAAAGCTATGAAAACCTCCATTACAGGACATTTATGAATGTCCTCATTTATAAATACAATACATAGTTTTTTTGTATAATACTGCATATATAATATTATAATATAATATTTAGGGCTGTCGCGATTCGTCGATTTTATTCGACTATTCGATTTTTTTTTTTTTAAATCCTCGACTTCATTTCACGGACGAGAATCCATAAAGCACATTATTAGACCGTTTCCCAAGGCTGCATGATATATTAAACCCATTTAAAATCATTATTAAGCATAATTGTGAATTCACAACCGCTACGATTTAATTAAATGAGTATATGCGATGCAGTTCTAATACAGTATATGCACTTTAATTATGTTATGTTTTTTTTTTTTATAATGAAGTGTCCTTTACATTTAGTCAGTGATTTTTCATGTCATTTTTCATGTCATATGTCAGTTCGGTCAAATAATTGAACAATATATAAATTTGCCATAAATGTTTGACTTCTGTCCTATATTCTCCCAAAAGTTCTTAATAACAAGATCTAATTTATCTGTTAACATTAGTCTACAGAATACACACCTTTATTAAAAACATTACAATTTTGGCTGATTAGCCTGCTTATTCCGTTATTATTATTATTGTTATTATTATTACTATTTACACATATGAATGGATATGTACAACAAATGATATATAATTATTAATTATATATAATTTGTAATTGAAATTACTGACGGAAATGTTCGTTGACAGACATGGACGTGCAAGTCCTGCAGGTGCAGCACAGCTTATTTATAAATAGCCTATTTACAGACAAACAATAGCCCAAAATGAGCGCAACGGTTAAAGTAACAGCTTATTTATAAATAGCCTATTTACAGACGAACAATAGCCCAAAATGAGCGCAACGGTTAAAGTTTCACATTAAGCATGGCCATCTCCCTCATAGAAAACCGTTAGCTTAAATAAAACACTTAATGTGGCTTAGCTATATGGACGAAGACAATCATATAAAAAGCCCAAATTTCGGTATGTTTATTAAAAATATGTACTTAACAAGCAGATGAGCCTAGAATATAAAGGCAACGCGCTGAATTGCAAGCATTTTCTTACTATAGAAAACCATTATAAAGAAAACTCTTAATGCGGCTTATAATGGACGAACACCAAATCCTGTATACAGATAATAAAAAATATATGTAGGCTACAGGCAAGCAGAATGGTACAGAATAAGAACGCAACGCTGTGAATTAAGCGTCCTCCCATAACCATTATAAATTTCATATTTCAGAAGGTGGGCCTTCATTTGATACAGGAACTAATCGAGCTGTTCATGCCAATGAAGGCTAATGAAGGAAGACACACACTCACACAAAAACAAATTCAGTATACAGTTTATTTAAAATAGGATATACTAAGTAGGCTTACAGGCAAGCAGGTGATTGTGATTGTAATAAAGGCAATTTTATACTTCACTGAACAGAAATGCACTGTTGTGTTTTCTGCTTGGATGTTACAGTTAGCTTTATAATAAGATTTTGTGGCTATGAGTTCAAATGTCATTATGTGCATGCAATTTTTCCTTTGAACAAAGTGACTGATCCTTATTTAGATAGTACAAATAAGTGTTTAATGCTTATTTTTTATTTATTTTATTTTATTTTTTTGGCTGGACATTTTTTGGGGGGGGGCACAAGGAGAATCTGGGGGGGGGGGCATTGTTTCAATTGTTTCCATTCACATGTTTCAAGTTGAGATCTACCCCATAAACAACTTGTGTAAGTTGTCTTTGCAAAATGTCTTTGCATTTGCTTATTACTCTATATTTATGTGAAATAGCTGGGTTATTTGTTGAATGGGGTTTGATGAGGAAGTCAATGCTGTTAAGAAGCCATTTCTCATGGCTCTTACAACACCAGCATTACTGCAAAAAGAAAGAAAAAGAGGAAGGTGAGCTATTTTCTCCAGTGCCACGTGAATGTCACATTGACTTGAGTTTCCATAGTTTTTCAGTGAACTTGCATGTAAAATATCTCTTCAGTTCAGCTCCCATCTATCTGATTGAATGCAATGAGGTTTGATTGATTCTCAGTAGGGTTGGCTGAGTATCTGTGTTGAGATATGCTCTAGTGTCCTGTGACTGGTGGAGGAGTGTCTCACACTCAGACAGAGGAAGTGATGAGAGACAGGATGTCAGATAATAGTTAAATATTGCATACAGTACATCAACTATCATTGCTACATGACACTCAAACCCTGCAGATCAAAGCAAGGTAGGGACAACTATATTTTTACAATGCAAATACATATTTTTCTACATATTGTTCTACAGTTTCGATATAGGTAGATGATTAAATATCACATTTAAAAATGCATACACTTAAGTCTGCCGTACATTAGTATCTTTTTAACACCATTCCAAATGTTTTCTAGAATGTTCAGCCTATTCTCTTTGATTTCTCTGCTCGTGATTCCTGGTGAGTCTCAGAATCTCATTTTCATGCATATGAAGAAATCGTCCAGTATGTTTTTCTGTATACTGTGTTTAATGACAGTTTGATGTGTATGGTGGAAAAGTGTTGCTCATATATTGTAGATTTTTAGTTCTGCAAAACGAACACAGACACCTGCAGTACTGTGCATTATGCCTATAGTGACAGATCAAATTAGACACTTCCTGGAAATACGGGCTAGCGGCGCCATTTCTGTGTTCATGTAACTGTTCTTGTTCATGTTCTGTGTTTTTTGTTATTCACTTGGTGGCATGTTAGAAAGTTAGGGATACCGAGAGCAGGACTATGACTGACATGTTGATCCTATATTATACTT